CCCCCACCCCCCCCGCCATCACGCAGGCGTTAGGGGGGAAAAATGCCGCCACCCCCCCATGGGGTTTGTGTGAAGGCTGGAGTGGCCAAACCACCCGTGGCCGTGCTCTCGGGTGCCCAAGGGTCCCCAGAGGTGGCTGTCCCTGTCCCTCAGCACATCACCCAGAGGGCAGAGGGCCAGGTCAGGTCTGCAGGTGCTTTTCCAGGCCAGCAGCATCTCCGCCCCACAGCCACAAACCCCGGGCAGCGTTAGTCCCGGGTGATTTGCCCGGCAGTGGAGGGGGGGACACAACACCAGCACCACACCAGAGCCAGGCTGAGCTGGAGCTCCGCTGCCCTGGGGTTTCCCCGTGAGTTAATGAGTTGCTGGCGGCTGCTGTAGAGGATCCTCCCGGCCGGGGTTTCCCCGGAAGAGCCCCGGGGATGCCAGGGGAGCCCAGACCAGCCCTTCGGGGAGAAATCTCACCTACGAGCACCCAGGAGGCAGAGCAAGACTGGGTGCACCCACCCTCCGGGCGAGCATCCCACGAGCACGAGGGTTTGTGTTCCCATCAGCTGTGGCATTGGGCGGACAAACCCGCTTGGGAGCTGGTGGTAAAACCCTGCCAGTTTGTCCCACAATGCCACAGCCGGATTTCCCACCGTGGCCAGTTTAAAGCTCACTGGGATGTGCCGTCAACACAGCACGGAGCTTCCCCCCACCCCGGGATGCTGCAGGCAGAGCCTGGAGACTCCTCATGTGCAGGCAAGGGTGTGCAAGAGCCTGCGTGCTGGGGAACTGGGAGCCACTGGTGTGACTGGGAAGGGGGCAGGGCTCCCACCTGGCTGATTTTTCTGCAGTTCTCCCTGAGCACAAAGTCGGTGTTTCTGGCCACCTTCCACACCGCCAGCTCCTCGGGGCTGCGCAGGGTGCCAGCCGCCACCTCCCGCAGGGACATGCTGATGTTGTAGATGGAGAGCAGGATCTTCTGGTCCTGGAGAAGGGAGAAGCACCCGGGCCCGGGCAGGGAGAGGGGCTCGACAGCTCCCCGGGGGCTCAGCCCACACAAGGCACCAGCCCAGGGTCCCTTGCTGCTCACCTTGTCTGAACGACAAGCCAGCCCAACCCTTCTGCTCCTGTCTGCTGATCCGCTCAGGTTTTTCTGGAGAAATCAAGCAAAAAAAAAAAAGATCAGACATCCTAAATCATCCGTGCCTCCCCCATGAGGGAACCCCCTATTCAAACACAACACTCCCCAAAAACACCAGCAAAGGAGCCAACCCCATACCGAGCTTTTCCCAGGCTCATCCCTCCCACCCGTGTCCTGCAGCAGGGCCGCATCCAGCTCAGCAGCATCCCCCTGTGCGGGGGCCCTGGGCAGACCCCCCCCGTCCCTGCTCACCAGGTTCTGGATCTCGTGGAAGATGACAGCACGGTACTGCCGGAGGATTTTGGCGATGCTGCACCTCTTGCCTCTGCTCAGCATGGCCACGAGCAGGAGGAGCAGAACAGCACAGGAGAGAGCCCGGGGGAGAATCTGCACAGGGAAGGGCTCAGCATCAGCCGAGGTGGGGGGGAAACTGGGGGTGAAGGGATGCTCCGGGCTCCGCCTTCAGCCCCTGGCCACAAGCCTCCATCAGGCTGGTCCCTAAGCTCTCTGCCTCAACAGGGTCCCCAGCAGGTTCCCAGCTTGTGGCATTTCAAGGCCAGACCCTCAAGAACCACCAAAAAAAAAAAATCAAGAGGAGCAGAAAAAGACGTGCCCTGCTCTTTAGAGAGGGGCTGGAGGCAGGGAGCCAGCAAACCTCCACGCCTCCATGTGAATGGTTTGGGGCACTCCCAGGAGGATGCTCTCTGCAAACCCCGCAGCACGGACGCAGTTATTCAACATTTTTCCAGCTCCCACACAGCCCTGGCTCGTCCCAGGCCTCGGGTGCCCTCACACCAGAGGCAGCAGCAGCAGCACAAGCGCCTGCTCTCGCCAGCGTGACCCAGCTCCTGGCCCCGAGCCGGCCCCGGCAGAGCGGGGAAACCCAAGCGCTGACATCCGAGCTGGCGGGGAGCACGGGGAGGGGGCGGCCGGACCCTTCAAGGGATGAAGTTTTTTTGAAGAAAAGCCAACGCAACCTCAGGTGACCGGGAATATTTGAGCAGTTCCACAGCAGCGGGGCGAGGATGGGAAGCCTGATCCACGCACAGCATCTGCCAGGAAAGGAGCCCGACAGCTCACGTCTCCGCATCGCTGAGCGATGGCACGGCCCTGGGGCCCCATCCTGCAGGAAAAGCCCCCCCCCC